TGAAAGATAAACTATTTGTTTGAGTTGTAATGAAATTGAACTTTATTGTTGATTTATTTTTTATGCGTTTGATCTTCTTGGTTTTGTTTGAAGTGTCATACGTTGTCTGTGCCGGGCGTGCGTCGTTTTTTGCAGCGCCTGCTGGAGTGACTCACGCGCGCTATATTTTACAGCTGTCGTTGGAGCCAACGCTGAGCTACGCGCAAAAATTGACTATTTCAATGTTGTAAAGGCTTTTTTTACGCGCCGCGCGCCGGTTGAGGATGCTCTAATAGGAAGATCAGCTGATGTGCCAGCAATGCTACATCTACAGGGGTTTTACAGGAGCTTTACAGGCTAGGTTTAGGTGGGATGTGTTGATTGGTTGTTAAGATGAAGCAGGCCCCACCCTGAAAATCAGGGGGGAGAGATTAGTGAGGGGAGAGGATTAGTCCGTTAACTCTTGTAAAAGCTTTCCGTACGTCTAGCATTTTTGCTGATGTGCCTGTATAGTCGAATTCAGCGCTCGGTTGCAACTGGGTAGAGCTATGAAAGCGCCGCTACACCACCTTTTGACCCCGACGGCTCGACGCAGAGCAGAGCAACTGCAGAAGCCACGGTCAGCTTCCATCCGACTCTCATCCTCGTCACCACCAAGAGCCTACGCAACGCCCCCTATAAATACCATGCGCTTCCGTCCCCTTCAATGGCAAGTCAAGCAACCCGAACACCCACATAATCCAAGCAAGGGGCAGTAGCAGTCAGCCAACTGCCGAACATCCAAGCCCACCCATCACTTCTTTCTCTCCCGCCAGCTGCATTCAGTTCTTGCTGCTTCGTTGCAATGGCGGCCGTGAACAAGTCCGTCGAGCGGCTGGCGCAGCGCCTGGTGGCGCCGGCCGAGCCCACGCCGGTCGGCCCGCTCCGCCTGTCCTGGCTCGACCGCTACCCCACCCAGATGGCGCTCATCGAATCACTGCACGTCTTCAAGCCGGCCCCTGACGGCGGCAACGACGCTGGCCCGGCGAGGACCATCGAACGGGCTCTGGCGCAAGCTCTTGTCCACTACTACCCGCTCGCCGGCCGCCTCGGGTTCACGGACGACGGCGGGCTGCTGCATGTCGACTGCGGCGGCGACGGCAGCGGCGTCTGGTTCACGGAGGCCGCGGCCGCCTGCGCGCTCGAGGACGTGGAGTACCTGGAGCACCCCATGATGATCGCCAAGGACGAGCTGCTTCCGCCCACGCCCGCTCAGGAGGAGGAGCGTAGGCTCGTCCTGCTCGTCCAGGTCACCACATTCGCCTGCGGCGGCTTCGTCGTCGGCTTCCGCTTCAGCCACGCCGTCTCCGACGGCCCCGGTGCCGCGCAGTTCATGGCCGCCGTCGGTGAGTTCGCCCGCGGCCGCAGCAGCGTGGAAGGCCTGGCGGTGGAGCCGCAGTGGGGCCGCGAGGCGATCCCGAACCCGGCCGGCGCCGTCGTCGGCAGCCTGCCCAGCCCCGCGGGTGCCAAGCGACTCGAGTACCTCGCCATGGACATCTCCGCGGACTACATCAACCACTTCAAGTCGCAGTACAACACGGAGCACGCCGGCTCGTGGTGCTCGGCGTTCGAGGTGCTGGTGGCCAAGGCGTGGCAGAGCCGCACCCGCGCGGCGGGGTTCGAGCCGGACTCCACCGTCCACCTCTGCTTCGCCATGAACGCGCGACCCCTCCTGCACGCCTCGCTCCCGCGCGCCGGCGCCGGGTTCTACGGCAACTGCTACTACATCATGCGCGTCTCGGCGCTCGCGGGCAAGGTGTTTGGTTCCTCGATCCCGGAAGTGGTGAAGATCATCAAGGACGGGAAGAGGCGGATGCCGTCGGAGTTCGCGCGGTGGGCGACCGGGGAGGCCGGGGCCGACGGCGGTGAGGACCCGTACCAGATCACGTCAGACTACCGGACGCTGCTGGTGTCGGACTGGACGCGGCTCGGGTTCGCCGAGGTGGACTACGGCTGGGGGCCGCCGGCGCACGTCGTGCCCCTGACGAACCTGGACTACATCGCGACGTGCATCCTGGTGAAGCCGTGGGCGCACAAGCCAGGGGCGCGGCTCATCACCCAGTGCGTGACGCCCGACCGTGTCGCCGCCTTCCATGAAGGAATGCTCGACATGAACTGACCGGAGCTGACTGGAGCAGAAGAAGAAGTGAAGCCGAAGGCAAAACGATGCGTGATTAGAGATAGATATGGTTGTTGCATTGGATTTGGATTGGTTGATGGGTGGATTGATTCGTGGTGTGTAGCGTAACTGAAAATAAGCAACCGATCCTGAATTTGGGGAGTTGATTGTACTATGGGTTTGGTGGAAAGCCACCAACTGAACTTGTTTTTTCGTGGAGTATAATAAACTACTCCTATTGGATACAGAGCTCTTGTTCTCCCGTCACTCACTGGCTGAAAGGAGCTTGGCATCCGCCGTAGTAGCGTGCATTGCAGATCAGGAGAGTACTCCCTGCGTTTGGAATTAGTTGACGCTCAAACGGGTATTTAATTACGTTCCGCTACAGTTTAGCAGGCCCACTTGGATCATCTTCTGATCATATCTGTTGTTTACCTGCTAGTTGCAGCATGCATCTCGTTGCAACTTGCAACACAACCTGTTCTGCATCCGGCTTAATGGAGCTGAGCTGAGACCGTCAGAACTTCGGATGCAGTTGACTAGATCGTAATTGAATCTCTTGCTCCTGAGTGGACAGTGTATTACACTGACACCCACCTTGCTGTCTTCCTAGTGGACCAGTACAGCATTAAACAGTCGCTTATCGCAGCAATTTTAGCATTCAGCTCACCTGACATGCAGCAGGCTGTCACACGCACTGCAGTCTAACCAAAACATGTCTGCTGGATCTGCATGCCAACCAAAACGCTCCTCACGCCCCCACTTAGAAAACTCGGAATGCCAGCCACGGATGCTCCGGGCAATGACAACTTGAGCCACTTAAAAGAAGACCAGATCATAAGCTAACCACATGGGTGAGCTGATCGCCAAATCCCATTTGATTAAGCTCACTCGTCTACTACCATTACGGTAGCACAGCGCGTCCGATGATCTGGACAAATGATATGATCTACTCCACAATATATAAAGATCCCACGCATCTAATCCGATGGACCATTTGCGCGTGGTTTGTTAGAGGGGCATAGTTTAATGATGATGATGGACGCGCAGCCTCTCGCTGGTTGGTTGATCCTTTTGTCTGACGCTGTGCGCTGTGGTTGGTTAATAGCACTTCTGTCTGACACTCTGCAGGGTGGCTGGTTTGGTTAGTCGCTCTGGGTTCTGAATCCTGATCTCTATTCGTTGCCGTTTGATCCGCCATGAGGAACGGATCAAAAGGTTCCAGGAACCAACCCAACTCCAAGATCACTGAACGTAAGCAACCCCATCGGCTGCAGAATTGTTTTTGAAATTTCATCGGGTAGGCCACATGACAGAGTTCTTGCGGCATTGTTTTTGAAATTTGCATGGGCGGAATTGTTTTTGAAATTTGCATCTGCTTGCCAACAAGGGCTCAGTGATCGTGTCAAGAAGAGCATAGGATGTGCTACAAGGTGGAGTGCGAAAAATGTGGCAAGATCACCTGGAAGGGGTGCAGAGCGTCCGTCTATGAAGGCATCAAGAAACGAAAGCACTGTACCTGCAAGGCGTGTCCGGGTGTTGGCACGAAGGCGGAATCGTGTAAGGGTTGGCTTCAACCACCGAAGGAAGTGATGTGCTTTTGCTTCTGCTTGCTGAAAATGGTCTCCATGCCCGACCTTGCAGGTGAAGCAAAAACTTGAATTCATGCACACTGATCGCTAGTTTTGCAACTACCGGACTGAAGGAGACTACTTTTGAATAAAAGCTTGCGAAATTGTTGATCTTGTTGGACCCCTAGGGCTCTCCCGACCGCGTCGTCCCCCGCGGGCGATCGGCCGCGCCCCAGTTCCTCCTCCGCCAGCTCTCCCTCACTCCCCCCTACCCGCCGCCGTCACAGGCGTTCGCCGCCTGGCCTGGCCCGGGCGACGCTGGTGGCGGCGGCCCCCGGCCATTCCCTTCTCGGTTGCTCTTCGGCGCGGGGCGGAGGGTGCCGGGGGTGCTCCCTAGGCGGTGGCGGTCTGGCGTGGCGGCGGGGCTTCCTGGCGCGGCGCGGGAGATCGGCTGGACGGCGGCGTCGCCGTTGGCGGCGCGGCGGCGCGGCACCCGCTCAGCCCAGATCTGGGCCCTTCGGGCCCCATCTGGGTCTAGGTGGGCCGACGGCGGGGCGGGGCAGGTTGGCGGCATGGCTTCCAGGAGGCGGGGAAGCGGCGATGGGCGTTGGGGGTTGGCGGTGCTGGCGCCGCCCTGCTGCAGCGCGGCTGATCTCAGTGAGGCGGCGTGGGTGGCGTTGCGACCAAGGTGGTGCATGCTGGTGGGTGGCGTTGCGACCAAGGTGGTGCATGCTGGTGGGCGGCGAGCTGGCTGGTTAGCTTCGATCCGATTAGGCGGTGGGGTCTGGAGTTGGGAGAAATCCTTGTCGGGTCTTCCGGCTACCATACGGTGACGCCTGCAGGTGCCACCATTCCTCCCTGGAGGGTGTCGGTGATCTTCATTCCCCTCTACCCTCCGCGTGCCGGGGGAAACCCTAGGACACATCCGGGCAGCAGCGTCGTCGGCGTCACATTCCTTCGTGGGGGTGCTGCTTGGTGCGCGGAGGATCGAAGCCTAGGATTGTGGTGGGTAGATTTCAGAGGGCGCAGCGGTTGTGGGTCATCCGCGCTTTGTCGAGCTGCCGGTGTTGGCATTGTTTCTTCTTCTTTTTCCTGGCCTTGTTGTGCTGCTTGCCCGAGCGTATGTTTTGTATCGGTGTTGGTGCTTTGGAATACAAAGCGGGGGGAAACCCTTTTTCGGTAATAAAAGCTTGCCTCTGCTATCCGCTCGCATTTGTTTCTGACTTCTTCGCTGGAGTCTAGTTCCGATAATCCAATAAAACATTCTGCAGTTGATTGATAATGTTATCTAGCTAAAGATACAAATCAGGGCTGCGTTCCAGAGAGAGTTGGAAAAACTCGGCAAACTCTTTGATCAATGATTCATAAGCTATATCCATCAGTTCTGAATCGTTATGTTCTCTACCGTTGGAAGCCTTTTGCAATATCTGCTTAATGCTCCCAACGCCACGACCCTTTATGCCGCAGGGAACAATGTGTTCAAAAGGGGTTAGGTCAGTTGTGACATTTAGCGCTAGACCATGATATACTATCCATCTTGCACACATAATTCCAATAGCTGCAACTTTCTGATCCCCTGGGGAGGAAATAGAGTGTACAAGTTAAGAAAGATGCGCGATAACATGATAAAACATTTTTGCAGTATCCAAATGGATAGTAACATACCAACCCAAACGCCAGTGAGGCCTTCTATTGTTGATGCCTTAATAGAGAATGCGGACTGAAGGGCACGAATGATCACAGTTTCAAGTGATCTTTGGTACCAGTTAAGATCCTTCTTTTGATACCGCAAATTGAGAATCGGGTACAGAACGAGCTAAGGAAGCAAAATAATTGATTGTAAGATAATAGTGTTGAGCTACAAAAAAACATGAATAACTAAGATTTTGTGTTCAATATTTCGAAAGTCAGGAAGTTTGTTCTTATTTCAAAATGGTAAATGGTCATAGGTTGATCTAACTAACAAGGATATGGAAACCCTTACTTGTTCATTATTTACTTTCCTTTGAAGCTTAGGTTACTTCAGATTTAATTACCTTGAAGCAGAAAACTAAATTGGAAACAATGGCGGGCGCAGGTACACTTTCAGACCCAACAATACAGCTAAAATAACTAACAAATACCTGTCCAGGACCATGATATGTCACCTCCCCACCACGATCAATACGATGAATCTCAATAGGAGAATCTTCTATATTGAAATTGAGGTACTTCTCGCTATTGCCGTTGCCCAGTGTATAAACTGGTGGATGCTGCAGCGTGATTAAGGTGTCCGAGTGATCTTCATCTGTGTCCGTGTCTATGCCTACCAACGGTTTTCTCCTCTCAACAATGGACTTCTGCCAACCCCATGAATCAACAAGAGGAACTATCTGCCGATGGAGATCAAAGAGTTCACACCTATTGAATACGAAGAGTGTCATTCGCCATGATGAACACCATACAAGCAAGCAATAGAAGGCTAACATGCTACAGCAGTGCTCATAGCTTCAGTTCAGGTGGTAATGCAGACGGCAAACCTATCATACACAAATTATTTGGAGCTACCTAGCTTGTAAATACATCATGACAAATATTTGCAGAACAGAACAGTAGCCCGGTTTCTTGTGCTCAAGTGCATTTCTGCAACCCCTTGATCAAAATCATTAAGAATACCTCATCAACAAAGCATTGGGCTAAACAAAACAAATGCAGCCGCATTCTTTACTACTAGTTAATGGCACATTTCTTCATAGCTGAGAGCCTGAGACTCATTGGAATTGTTGGTTAGACCTTTGAATAAAACTAACCATAGCAATTAAAATTAACGAACCGAGAGTACCTCCTCGTACCGACGCGGGCAGCATCGGCCACCAGGGCCGCGTTGGTCACTGCGGCGGCGATAGGACCGGAGCAGCAGCCAGCGGCAAGGCCCGGCCTTCCCACTCGGGAGCGTGCCGAGGAGTCCCTAGCAGTGGCCGGGAAAGGCATGACGCTGTGGCAGAGAGGGGCAGTGACAGTCATGGCAGAAGAAACCATGCTCTTGAGTCTGGCTGGGGTGGAACCAAACCCGCGGCTGATGGACTTCTGCACTGAGGCACAGTGGAGGCGGCGAGGAGGAAGGCCTGGATTGGATCGGCGTGAATCGAATCACACGGCAATCGCAATTCCAAGATCACAGGGATTTAGTACAGTCAGTTTACTTTTCGCACAAGTTGAATAAAGTTTACTTAATTTTTCCAGGCGATGGTGAGGAATTGATGCCGGCTGCACGGCACCAACTAAACTGAGGGCCAGTTCTTTTCAGCTTACCTGCCCAAAGAATCTGATTCTGAGAAATTGCCCAGAGAATCGGCTGTGTGCATAATCAGTCCTCCAGTTCTTTTCAGCTTTTCAGCTGTTCCATATATGATATAGAGTACATATGTGGCAACAAAATGAGGATTAGCAGTGGCAGCATACACCACATCATACACAGCAAGAAAATGGCCACTCCCCATTTGAATCAATGGCAGCATACACCACATCAAGCAGTACATAGATCAATCAGTGGCATCATATACACAACACTATCAAGCAACAGCAGTAACAACTATCTTTGAATCAGGGGGAGGCAGTAACCTCCAGCAACAACTTTGAATCGAGTAGATGGAGAGGAGGCGAGGCACTCACCGAGTTCGGTCGATTCGAGAGGCAGACGAGGTGCTGGGCGGTGAGGAGGTCGCGGTGGACGGAGGGGAAGCAGGGGCGGGGGGCGGCGGCCGGCGGTGGTCGACAGCTTTGGGAGGCGGGGGAGACGGTGGCGCGAGAGGCGGCGGTGGTGGCGGCTGTGGTGTCGCGGGGGAGACCGGGGGAGGAGCGCTGGGGGCGGTCGCAGGGGAGACGGGGGCGGTCGCAGGGGAGACGGGGGCAGCCGCAGGGAAGACGGAGGTACGGGTACGGCGCCCCGACGGGAACCCGCGAGACCAGGGGACGAACGGCCGATTCTCAGGGAGCAGCTTTGTGAAGGGAAATTGATTTTCATTTTATTTTTGAGAATCATTTTCCATTAATTAGCTAGTTTAGCTAGTGTTTTGCCCGTTTGTTAGGGTTTTAGCCCGGTCTTTCTTTAATTAATGGAGCGGTCTCTATGTACCATTTCTCTCTCATCAATGAATATGGTAGCTCTCCTGCTATCGTTTGAAAAAAAAAATCATTTTTCTCTTTTTTAAGCTATATATTTTTTAGGGGAAAACCAAATTTATTATTCAGCAAAATTCACAGAACGTGGGATACAAATTTGGTCATGGGACTGGCCAAATCAAACATAGCGTCCCAGACTTTAAGAAAACGTGAATTTGGCTAAACTATGAGCCTCATAATTAACTACACGACCTTCAAAAGTAAATTTACAACTAAAAGAAGAAGCTTGAAGTTCGATTTCGCTGATAATTGCTCCGTTGTTGCCATGATCTTGTGCGAGAGCTAGGGCCTCCTTGCAAGCTATCGCCTCCAAGATTGATGGATCATCAACACCTCCAATGGCAAGAGCTGAGCTACCTAAAAATGTACCATTTTCATCTCTGCAACACAGCTGCGGCCGTCCCCATCTAACCCTGTCAAATTAAGCAATGTGTGTCTAGAAACCAAACAACCCCTAACTATCGACATTTCAGACCTGAGAATGGCTCGATCACCGATTATATAGGTGACACGATCACTAAAGGCTCTTTGATTCAGGTCATGTTTGGAGTGGAGGGGTACAAACAAGGGGATAACAAAGGGAGCAACTAATGAGAGGTGTTGTGTGGGCAACACTTTCTCTAGGTTGTGAGAGCATACGAGCGCTTTAAGTGGTGTGTCTAGTCATCGTCATGTGTTGCGCACTGGGCGCACCCTGCAAGTATGTCTTTATTTTGTTTTTCCTATTTTTCTTAGACTTATTCGTGGAGCACATATGTGTTTCATGCGACAGCAGAATTTGTGCTTCATATTGGAACCACTTGTTAGGAGAGCGCATGTTAATACAAGATGAGAGCATGGATTAGCTCGCGTTGAAAACACATGAGAGCTTCACGCCGGAGCACTATTGTGTGCTTCATGTTGGGAGCACAAATTAGTACTAGATGAGAGAACAGTATAGTACTAGCTGGGCACGGGTTAGTTCACATTGGGAACACGAGTTAGTACTATGTGAGAGGAAGTATATGGTGCATTGGTGCCTGTGGTGCTACCGGTGCACCGGACTCCTTTAGCATATTTTCAAATGTTTGAAAAAAACAAAAAGAATAGCACATTCACGTAACATTTTTTTTGAGGGGTAATCGCAACTTTATTTAACTAAACAAGGTCTGGGATCTCAGCTGTTACAATGCGCAGAATACAGTCTGGTGGCACCTCATGCCAAAACACATTACTCTTGCTAACCCCCTCTCTAGCTAAGACGTGAGTTGCAGAATTGGCAGTCCGTCGAGTCCATGTGACCCTGTAGTCTTGCCGTGTGTGAAGCATCTCCTTGATATCTTCAATATACGGTCCAAATGCTGACAAATTCTTGGCCCCATCATTCAGCATGGAGACCACACCTTTGCTGTCCAACTCCACATGAGCTTGTTGGACATCTAAATCAATCGCCATTTGCACTGTATGTCTTGCTACTAGGATCTCCGACAGTTCAGGGTTAGTGATGCATGGGAAGAACAACGCAGTCCCTCCTCTGAAAGCACCATCGTGGTCCCTTAGGATCACTCCCCCGCCCCCTTTATCTTGCATTCTCGACGCAGCTCCGTCAGCATTGATCTTGATCCATCCCGGCTCTGGTGGTTTCCACTTCTCAACTTGTTTTGGCTCCTTTATCATCGTTGCTTTGTCATGTACCGAGCACCAGTCCAACATATGAGTATAGACCCTGCCCGTCACCACTCTAGCATCCGGGATTCTCTTACCATCTATTGCCTCATTGCGATCACGCCATAACCCGTAGAGCCCCTGGATCATCATTCCTTTCTCCGCTTCTCCGGCGCCCGAGAACCATCCCTTCAACCATTGTGAAGCTGTATTCAGAGACCCATCCATGGGTGGCGGGAGCACCACAGGTGCTCCTTTCTCCTCACACAAATATTTCCAAAAAAGAACAGAGTGCGGACAGGCCCAAAATCTGTGATAGGAGGTCTCTTCTCGTCCACAGTCGACACAAAAAAGCCAGGTTTGATCCTTCGGCGGTGCAGCTCTGAGCCCACAGCCAGCCCATTCTTCATCAACCTCCAAACATCTTCACTTTGTTCGGTGCATTGGCTGCCCAAAGTGCGAGCCAAGCTTTATGCCCTCAGAACGGCACTGAACTAGCTGGTTGTCCGGTCTTCAGGCCATTCAGACTCATACGTAGATGGTATGCTGATTTCACCGTGAAATGCCCGTTCTGTGTAAAGTTTCATGCATAATAATCACTCATACCTGGGCCGCCACGACTATCGTTTTATATCATTTACATCATCAGGAGTGAACATCATTTCCAATTTCAGAGCATCCCATTCAGTTCCCTGTTCGTTGAGGAGGTCACCAACGTGGGTTATTCCATGCATGTATTGTTGCCCAAGTGGCTTGAGGCTCCTCTGTCTAGGGATCCAATTATCATGATGTACGTTGACAGTAGTGCCATCCCCTATTCTCTAAACCACACCTTCCCGTAACAGCTCTCTTCCATGAATGATACTACGAAAGGTGAATGATCCCCCACTCGGGCACGTGGCGTTCATGATGGACCCCTCGGGGAAATACCGAGCTTTGAGGACCCATGCACATAACGATGATGGGTACATTAAAATGCGCCAAGCTTGTTTGGCCAACAACGCTTGGTTGAAATCCTCTGGGTCTCCGAACCCCATCCCTCATTCCTTCTTTGCCTTACACATCTTGTGCCAAGGAAGCCAATGCACTTTCCTCTCTCCATTTGCTGAACCCCACCAGAAGTTCGACAAGATAGAAGTAAGGTTCCGGCATATTTTTTTTTTGGGAGTTGAAAACAACTCATGGTGAGAGTTGGTGTTGCTTGAAGGCCCGACTTGATTAGTACCTCTCTAGCCGCCTTGGACAGTCCTTGGCCTTTCCATCCCGAGACTTTGTTTACTGAGCTTTCTTTCACATATTTGAAGGTGCCTTCATTTGATCTGCCAACCAGTGTCGGCAGTCCAAGGTACTTTTCACTAAGAGCTTCTGAATCGATCCCAATCACTTGTAGGAGTTCAGCTTTGCTCTCATCTGTGCATCCCTTTCCAAAAAAACGAGGATTTTTGGAGATTCACTTTCTGTACAGATGCATCCTCATAAATAGTCAATATATTTTTTAGCACCTCAAAATTGCTGCGGCTTCCCTCTAGGAAGACAACACTGTCAGCGAACAGAAGATGTGTAACGTGGGGGGCAGTGCTCCCGAACGACACTCCTTTGAGTTTGTACTCCTGTTGTGTAGCCCTCAATAGTGCTGAGAAGCCATCCATAAAAAAAGAAATATGTATGGTGACAACGGGTCATAGGCAGGGGCGGAAACCTTCTCGAAAGAGAAAATTTTATTTTTGCCACTTTAGATTTTGCCAATTTTTCTTATGTCACTTTAGATTTTGACATTCCACTTTTACCGCTCTTAGATTTTGACAATTATCACAATTGCCATTCTATGGAAAAAGCAAAATAATTTTATTTTATATTTGTCACTCTTAGTTTTTGACAATTATCATAATTGCCACTCTGAAAATTTTGCTTTTGCCACGAGAATGGCAATTATGATAATTGTCAAAAACTAAGAGTGGCAAAAATGAAATGTTAAAATCTAGAATGGCATATAGAAAATTGGTAAAATCTAGAATGGCAAAAACAAAATTTTCCCTTCTCGAAAACCCCATTCAGCTTGACAGAGAAACTCGCCCCTGTAGTGTACATTGCTAATGGCCGCAGATAATAACATCATTAGCCCAATAGCCCATAGATATGTACGTGGCTGCCTATTGTTTGGCCTACAGAGAATCAAATCGATCCGATCGCTTGTTTGGCATTTATCGCCGCCG